CACTTGCAAACAATGTGTTTATGCTCACGTAAGTAGTGTTGGTGCTTATTTGAGATGTTTAGCCCTCGAACACATCTAGCAGATGACTGTATGCTGATTCGTAGTTTTACAATGTAGAAACGAGAGGTGCTGTGATCAATGTCTACGAGATGATCCAAACTTTACCATTTGCAGCAAATCTCATGCCAAGGCCAATTACTTGTTGACTGATACACAATTGAAGTCAATCCCTTATGTCTCTCTTGGTGCCAAGGACGTTCGTACCTTCGGACTTCCTAACGCCTTATCTGATGTGGTTGCTCGTCAAATGGCATTGAAACAATATGGTAGCGAGGAGGCTCTTGCTAAAGGACGTGAGAACAGGAAGACAGCAGCTCGAGAAAGTTATGACAATCGTGTCGCTGTAAGTCGGTGCTTTGCCAAGTTGATTATTTAGGTTACTGAACCTAGTATCCTTAACGCCTAGGAATATCGTGTGTCTCGAGGAACTACGAACAAGAAGCCTCCTGCTCTTCCATCAATCCTCAAAGCAAAGGAGGAACCCTTTGCAGACCTGTTCTTCCGAGTCGCTGCCGTTATGAAAGTTGGAATCTTTTATGACGCTGAGACACTGGAATCGACTGCTCTTTACGCTTGCATAGGCTATGCAAAGATGCCACTGCTCGTCCTGCTCAAGCGTAAGTGTCCGTTTTCACTGAATTTTCCTGTGTTGGGTCTGTTTGCGGCAGCTAACCTCAACTTTTCAGTGGTTGTCCACCTGTTGCGGGATGCTCTACAGTCTGTAAAGGCTTTGAAGATTTCCAGATGCATCTATTTGAGATGCACGACATCGGTCATCTGTTCCAATGAGCGCAGTTCAAGTTGCTCATTGGAGCCAACGTGGTCATGCAGAATATTGTCATCTCTATTTTATTTTTATCAAAATGGCTCAAATTCTCACATAATATAACTAGTCATTTGTTTCTAAACTTCCATGGTGTACAGCTCTACATGGTGTAGAGCTCTACATGGACAGTAGCTCTGGGCTATGTTTTGTTGATGTGACGCGTCCAAACTGATGCACGAACGCTTCAGTTTTCACGGAATGATTTCAAGTTTTGCGGTAAACTGTCAAAAACTAGAACTGTTGAAAATGTTCGTGATCTGCTGCTTCTTTGTCGAACTTCCAAAAACTGCCCTAACAACACCCAACAACAAATTTCTTTCTGAGAACTTGAATGAAACTAAAGCTGAAGCAAACATACATATTTACCCATCAATTCTACAATGATGCATCCGATTATGTTCGTTCTCCTTACTACGCTGGTTGCAGTCAATAATGGGTTGCCTCAAGGATTAGAACGTCGTCAAGATTCATCTATGGTGAGTTTACATGATCTTGTTTTCGCAATGTATAATGTGGATGGATGGAATGATGTATTTGATATCTGAGCATATGCGACCGGTACAAATGAAGGTGTCATCACATGTGATTTTCAGGGAATTGAGTTATAGTTGAATCATCAATTCGAGGTAATTGTTTGAAGAAGGCATGCTAATCATTAGTTCAATTATCTTCTCAGGAGATTCCTGGCATGGTGGCTCCTACTCCAACACTTGGTGACACTACTTCAAACTCTACGAACGCTACCAGTGGGGCGTTAGTACTTGCTTTCCACTGTTTCTCGCGATGAACTACTCGTAAATTTTTACCTTGAACAGATGTGGTGGCTCTTTTGGCTCTTGCTCTGGACAGTTTTCTGAAATCTGCTGCTCGCAATTCGGTGAGCAAACTCGTCAGTGAACTCACCTATAGAGATAGAATTGGGTTGCTTCAATTGATCTGGAAACATCGCTTCCAATGATGATCACTCACAGCATGCATCATTTTGTATCTGACGACATTTGAGAAACGAGTTATGGTTTTCGGTGACCTGGCATTTCTTGATTTCTGACTCATACACTCTTGGATATCATCAAAACTAGGATTCTGTGGAAACACTACTGAATTCTGCTCGAACTGCCAACTCGAATTCTCATTCAATGGAGTGTGTCCAACACCTCCCAGCTCAATGACAACCACCTCTAGTCCAAAATCATCTATGCTACCACCGGAGTTGGCAAAAAATGCCCCAGCACACAAAGCAACTAGTGGGCCACTATCAATGCTTCCGCCGGAGATAGCCAAGAATGCTCCCGCGCATCAAATTACTACGGCTCCATCATCCCCCATAGTGGCACCTCTAGTTGTTGGTACTCGACTACCGAAAACAGCGAGACCCTCCAAATTTGTGAACGTATCACCATCACCATCAAACGTAAACCAACCAATAATCCCTTCTCCAACCATGACTATGCAAACGCCACACTCATCACCCACAAGAAGCAACAGCGTCACGATGACAAATGGAAAAACCAACGATGGGTCTTGCATATGTCCTGGATTTGGTGCTAATGATCCCATGTCGGATGGTCAACCCATCATGCCAGACATGACCAATAGCGGCATGCCTTTCATAGATATGACTGACAGTAACAACACATCATCATCTGACTTTGGAGCCATGATGGCTGAAATGATGCAAGGAATGTCATCATGCCCACCTGATGACTCATCAAATACGAAGTCAGGAGATTCTTCTTCTGCTGCTGACTCGTCTTGTGATCCTGGTTTGGACTGGTCGTCATTGCCAGATGAGTCTTCAGATATGGGAATGCCTGCATCTGGTGGTGATTCAAGCAGCAGTGATTCTGGTGGTACTGGCTCTGAGAGCTATGATTCTATTTCTGACACTGGGAGTCAAGATTTGAGTTCTAGCAGCTATCATGAATCTAGTTCAAGCAACTATGATCATTCTTCATCATCATACTCAAGCTCGTCCAATGTGATGTTGACTGCTTCGTCCTGCTTCCGCAAGGTGACCTTGGGAATGACATGCGAGACTGCTTCCTTTGATATCTACTTCTCAATATCGATATCTATAGGTCTGGCATGCAAATGGCAAAACCTTTACTGCTGTCGTTGCGCAAGTCTTTATTGGTCGACAGACGACTACTCTAGTCGTGGTAAGCTTATCAAGACGGATTCGAAGGATTCGTAGACTCTCATTTGCTAAACACGTCTAGGTCCAAACTGTGGTAGTGTTGACATCTCAATTGGTAGATACTGAAACAGCAACTGTAGTCATCAAAACTACAGCTCTTAAGGCATTCCAATCCAAATGGATGGCCTCAGTCAGTTGGATTGGGCCCAGTGTTGGCTCTACGTCATAAAATCAACTTTGGTTGGCAAGTCCTGAAATCTTTGGTCTTTTGCCATACATATTTGTTTGAGTCAAGTTTTACACTTCATTCAGTGTTTTTGTCTTCTTGTATAAAACAAATCTTGTGGAATGAATTTAGAACTTTGTCCTGAAATTTATCTGTGTGTCATCTGTTTAAGCTTTCAGCATAACATTCGAATCATCTTGACATGTATGAGTGATTTATTTGGCTAAAGCTCTGAAAGAGTTCAATCAGCACCACAATTGAACACTGTGATCAAACATGATGTTCTGGTTTACTGAGTATCATATATTTTTTGCAATGAAAAATGTTCCTATACATTTGTATTCCCAAATCAACCTCCTCGTGTTCAAACGCACTCTACATCTTTTTCTTTTGCTCTGGTTTTCGTTCACGTAATTCAAATTCTTCTGTTGCCTTCCCACCACTGCTACCACTGCTAGCTGATGCGTTGAGACCAATTACTGGGACGTCTGGTGTCTTCCTGGGCGGAGAATCAGACTCAGATTCTTCTGCCCTAGCAGCCATGATTCGGTACTTTGAGACGTCCTTCTTCAAAGCTTCATTAGCTTCTTGTAAGTCGAGATTTATATATACATCGGTGAATCGTCGATAGTTTACCCTATTGCAAAAACGTTTCAATAAGAATCCATTCGAATTTAGAGGCTGAGAGAATGTGAGTTTCAAGAAGAACTTACAGAACCATGAAAACACTGAATCCACTCAGGTATAGATTCCTCTGAGCAAAGAATTTATCGGAATACTGCTTTATTTTAGCTATTATAAAACCCGTGAGTTGTCACGATATGTCAAGTCAAACAAGTGTTGTCAAGTACTCACCACAACCGGTAGGATCGATGATAGCATCATTGCTCAGACTTTGCAAATGCAGAATTCTTCGGATAGTATCTCCCAGCAACAAAACGCAAATCAACATTATCATGTAGAAGGCAAACGAAATCTGCGTGTTTTCCATCAGAGATTTGGCACCGTTGAGTGCCTTCTTGCGTCTGTGGAAAATGATGATTGAATAGTACGTGTGAGCATATGTAGACCAGTTTGCAACACATGGTGACCAAACACCAAAAGTTGCCAGCACGAGCAAACTTCCAGGAGAGATCAACAGACTTATCACAGAGCTTACAGATTGACTGAGATAAAGTTCAATGGTATCAGAGAAAGCATGAATAAAGCGATCTCTGTCATCAACACAAAATACACGATTTGATTGAAAAGACTCTGTGAATGCGACAACATAAACTTGAGAGTTAGAGAAATATTGTTAAAAGCACTCCTTTAAATACCAAATTCATGGAGGTGGAAGCTCCCAAAAAAAAATTAAAGGGTCGGCCGTCTCATTGCAAGACTTCGAGACAAGAAAAACTCACATGATGCTTACCATGTTGGACGCAGACTCTTGGACAACCTCCAGTTTTGCTATCTCTTTCTTGTAATTGGGAGCCTGTATGATGTTAAAAGTTGTGGAGAAACAGAAGTTTAGGTTTGTCTGGGGTTTGAAGTGCAGCAGAGGGTTTGGCCAGGCGTTTGGTGCCATTCAAACATCCAAGCACAACAAGAGTGGCGGAGAGTAGTTCCAGTATCGTGTTAGTCAACAAAATGACACGTAAACAACGTGTAACTGTCGCGAGTTTGCTATCTATTGCTTGTCAATCAACACCACTATAAACATTTTTGCGTTTTTTCTATATTTTCTAATATATACAGCCTCATCATGCTCAGTCATCATCATCAGCAGTTGCAGCACCTGCTTTCCCGCTCGTATCACCATCACTTCCGGAAGCCTTCTCATCACGTTTCTTTTTCGAGTGCTTATCCTTCTTGGCCTTCTTCTCATCCCAAGCCCAAGCAGGTACAAAGGACTCTATAACTCCTACATCAGCAAACAGATTTGGGAAGAGCCAGCCACCACGACCAGTTGTTATGGCTAATAGAGCCCACAACATGAGACGCACGATAGCCAGGGCAAAGAAGAGACCAACCAGACCAATTGACAGGAGTGAGAGATAGTATACACCCATTCGCATTGTAGGAGGCCATATAGGGAAGAGTACACCAGCGAATATGACGAGTACGATACCGATTCCTAATAGAGTGTTTCGTATGGATGGAGGATCCCACATCCAGACATAGTAGGCGTCTTGTTGAAAGACTTGTTGTGTGTGGATTGTCAATATACGTTGATGAGGTGGTCGTTCAGCTCGTAGTATGAGGCCAGATGCCATGAGTTGGGTTAAAAGGGATTCGGCACTGGATTTGTCGTCGTTGAGTGATGGGTTTCGTGTTTTTGAGTAGTTTGGTCTGAGTAGAGCATTGACTGCCGATTTTCCTATTGGAATAATGTATGACTTTCAGTAATTTGGTCTCTCTATGCAACTGGAATCAGTCGTCAATAGACATCAAATGTCATACCTTTGAAGAAGTATATCCTCCTTCCATTCAAAATGCCTTCTTTGTTCTTCAGTTTGGAATCAGAGCTTCGTAGATATTTGCCAGCAGCGAGAACATCCTTTGATATTGGCTGACCCTGTCATAGAATCGATGAATGGGAAATGAATGAGTGAATTGGTCGAAAAGAATGCGTGATATCAAAAGAAGAGGAACCTACTTGTGCTGCCATTGTATTTGCGCCAAGTTCTATTTTGCAACGTGTCTTTGAATGTGGTCAATGGTTTTACTCCTTTCTCCAACTTGGTTTTTTTGAAAGTTTGAGTGAATTAGAGACAGTCGCGTACTAACATTTGCAAGTCGAACCAGCTTTACCTCAAGCATGTTGCATCATTGCCGAACGGTCTATCGAGTTACTGGCACGAAAATCACGTAAGTTCGCTCTAGTCAGAAGCTCCCAAAACCGCGAGCTCAACGTCGCCTGTTCCGTCATACGTTCACATTGCTCTATGCTGACAAGGCTGAACTTCTAGGTCATGCTCACGTATGCCCACACGAAGCAGATATCGACACTTTACAAACAATAGCTCGCAAAATCAAAAAACCATTGACATTGATGCAACAACAGGAGCATCATCCATACCCCATAGCGGAGAGAAAGCTGATGCCAAGAAGAAGCCAAAGAAAATGTCCATGAAGGAGCTAGTAAATACAGATGGGCTAGAATGGAAAAAGATGACTTCAGGACAAAGGGGTACACAAAACCTGCAGCTAGCTCTGGTTTGAAGAATGCCTCACAGTTTTCATGGTTTATTTAGTGGTACATTCGGCAAAGACAGTGTCGTATACTGGCGTCATCATATTTGGGGTTGTCTTGTTTAGCACAATAATGTTCTTCCTTGGATCAGAGCTTTTTGGCTCGACGAGTGCTAGCTCAGTGTTCTCTGATGCTTTGGACAAGATACACGATAGTGAAGCTGTAAGTGCGATGAAAGCACTCACAAGGCCTTTGATTTGGTTTCTCCTTGTCTTCCGGTCAATGTTAATCTCTGAACAAACGTCATCGTATAGGTCAAGGATCTCGTTGGAGACTCGATAAAAGGTCACGGAGATCACAGTGGTAGTCGAGCAAGGCGGTCTCGAGGAATCAAGTATGTCAACCTCATTCTCGCCAAACGAATCACAAATTTAACCCCTGCTGCCTCTCACTAGCCACACAATAACTGATGCTACTGCAACCTCGCCACGCAAAATGTATGTACGCTTCTATATCGAAGGAACCAAGTCTCAAGGAACAGTACATTGCAACATGTACGAGGATCCTGAAACCGGCAAATGGGAATATAAGACTCTGCGAGTGGATGTTCCAGGACAAGGCTTGCCATCTACTAGACTTTACGTGGTGGATAATCGGGTGAAGACCAAACCCAAGGAAAAGAAGGGATTGTTCAAGTCTCTGTGGAAGAGTAAGAGGCAACAACCACAACAGATTGAAAGTGAAATGGATGATTAGGTTTGTTACTAATGAATCGTGTGCTATTCTAAATAAATCAATGTAAAAAGTTAGCAAATATTGAGCTTTGTGTATGCGTTGATTGCAAGCACAGCTCGTTGTGTGCTTCCTCATTGGAACTCTGCGGGTGACGCGATTTTCCTACTGGAGGGATTGCCGTCGCGGATTTTGATGATGGAATCTTTCTATGTTACTTGGATTAGGTTTGTGTAGGAGTTCATTTGATTTTTTGCGTCGACTAGGAAGTGGGAGAGTTTGAGTGGGTTCACGGTCGGTGTTTTCATCGTATCATATGACTCACAGAGTTGTGAAGGAATATTCATCCTGGCAATCATCGCAAACCACGACTTTAGTCGCCTCGAAAGCATTCGTGTCGCAGAAGTGGGCGAGTGGAATCACACACTTTTTTGCGATCTCCAAACGGAAGGTCTTGGTTTTGTAGAGTGGGCTGAGTTTCAGGTGTGTGCTGGGTTTGGGAAAGGTTTGGTTGTTGTACCGATGAATTGAAGCGATTTGATCAAGGGCAAATTTGATGTGAAAGCAAGTGTTGAAACATCAAGAAAATAACGAGGATACCACATATATCGATTATTCAGAAAAGTTACTGCGACGTTTTCATCATCATTCTCTTCAGTAGCCTTCTCGCGCTCTTTCTTTTCATCATTGATGGCGCTGATGTAACCCAGACCTTCACGGCAACCGTTTTTGCTTGATGATCACAAATGAGTTTAATGCGTTGAGATATACCACCACAAATTACATTCTTTCATTCAAATTCGATAAAAGGGAGCCTCTTGATTTGTTCGTCCGTAAGCAAGTATCGAGGTTTCGATGTTCCCTTGCTCATGACAGTATAACGACTTTCGTCGTCTCGTCGACATTGATCACAGCACCTTTGATTACTATTAGCAAGCAAGGAGATGAGATCAGGGCTCCTTATGCAGAACTTGAAAGCGATTTCAAATTGAGGTGAATAAGACGACATAACGCCAACTCAGGGAAAGTAAGGCACTTCTTGGTTGCAATTATCGACTTGAAGAGTTGACTATAAGACAGAAGCTTTATTACGGACGTAAAGAACAACCAACCGGCAATAATCCATCACTCACAGCCCTTTATATTTCCTCTTCCTCAACCTTTTAAAAAGTGACCCATTTGTTCAAGTGTCGCTCTTCCTCCTTGAGATTTACAGTCTTCAATGAGCGACAGATCTTATGGAAGTAGAGATCATTTGAAGCGGCTACATCACGAAGGTATGTGCTCGACATGCCGAGTTTGATGTAAGTCTCTGGGTTCAAGAACTGAGATAGGTGCATCAAGATGTCGATAGGAAGTTTCTGACATAATGACTTCCTGAGCCTCTTCTGCGTGCTGGTCAGCATTCTTGTCAACTGTTTCGGCTGTGTTTTTGACTGTAAAAGCTCGTTCAGGCTTGGGTTCTGGAGCTTCATCGAAGCGAGCAGGCTCCTTTCCTTTACTGCTACGGAGCTTCATGCTTGGGATCTTGGCCCTATGCTACTCTGATTGATTTACTGGGATTGCCTGAACGTGAAGATTGCAGTTTCATTGTAGGCCGGATGTGACACATATGGGCATGTCGAACGACACCGTACAAACTTGAATTTTCATCTACGTATGTATTCTCTCATCAAACATTTGTTACAAGAACTTACACACCAAATCAGAAATCATCACCAACCTCAAAATACCAAATGTGATTTA